GAAGAGAGAGAGAAAGAAAATGCAAACTAAGGTTTTAGAGTTGATAGTCTGGACAAATCTTGAAGCACAAAAGTCTTTTTAAAAAAGAGTTCTGCTTAATTTGGCAGGACTGAAAAAAGAGCAAGAGAGAATGGCCATCAGGAGAGGTCCCTTGATACAGACGACAACCCTTACCGTGACACCATGCTGCCGGTGAGCGAGATTCCTTCTTATTTGCTGGAGATGGGCGTGGGTCACATTGTCTTTTAGGGCTCTAAAGCCAAAATACTGTGCAAAGAAAGGACACAACTGATTACAAGGACTGGAATCAGTAGAGTCTGTAAACCAAGAGCAGGTGAAGGCAGACCGCGCCTCAAATGAGGGGAGAGAGGCGTGGTCACAGCTTCTCATAGCTGTTACTTCCCTGAGTGTGGTTCTCTACTTTGAGATTCACCTGGGAGTCTAACACAAGCCAGTCTGCACAGCAGGCACTTAATAAATATTTGCTGAGCCCTCCCTGCTGTCCATCTATACTGCGCAAGAACACACACGCCCACACCAGGAGAGAACACCATGATCCACACGACAATTCTACAGACCAAGGTAAACATCAGCTGTTGCCTGTCAGAAAAAGACAGACTTTTTGTCTGTGGTGGTTTTGTGTTTTTGTTTTTTTCCCATATGGGCTCAGTGTGTACATTTATATGACTATAAATGCAGAGCTGCTAAAACGGAAGAAGGACTCTTTAGTGAAAGGAAGGGCTGGGGTTGGGCCACTATGGACCTGGATCCAGCTCCATCAGTAATGCCTAAAAGGCCGGGTGCAGTGGCTCACACCTGTAATCCCAACACTTTAGGATGCTGAGGCAGGAGGACTGCTTGAGCACAGGAGTTCAAGACCAGCCTGGCCAACAGAGGGAGACTCTGTATAAAAAACTAAAAAATTAGGCCTGGCACCTGTAATCCCAGCACTTTGGGAGGCTGAGGTGGGTGGATCACAAGGCCAGGAGATCGAGACCATCTTGGCTAACATGGTGAAACCCCGTCTCCACTAAAAATACAAAAAACTAGTTGGGCATGGTGGCAGGCACGTGTAGTCCCAGCTACTCGGGAGGCTGACGCAGGAGAATGGCGTGAACCCAGGAGAATGGTGTGAACCCCAGAGGCAGAGCTTGCAGTGAGCCGAGATCACGCCACTGTACTCCAGCCTGGGAGACAGAGCAAGACTCTGTCTCAAAAAA